TCGCCGACGACGATGACGGCGTCCTCGCGTCGGCGATGCAAGTTTTGCAAGAAATTCGACATGCGCGCGCGGCCGACACGCGAGTGGCCCGCATGGAACTATCTGACACGGATCGCGCCCCTTCTGTTGCCAGGGATTATTGCGACAGCGCGCGCGCAAGGGCGTTCGAGCGATCCCGACACGCGCGAGCAAGAGGACCGTCCGGTAGCAACTGTTGAAAGCGTTGAGAAAACAATGGTTTTCTTGAGAATTCGCAAGTGCCCGAGAGTAAGTTCTTTGTTTGCAGGTTCTTGTTGCGAAACCACGAATTGTCATATGTTTCCGGAACGCTTGATTTTGACAGACTCGCGAAACCACAAGTTTTGAAAGGATTTCGGCATGCGCGCGCAACGACGCGCGCGTGCGCAGTTCGTCCCATCCGTTGTGAGGGATTCTTGGAAACTGATCATGGGTGATAAACGGGTGCACGCGCGAAAACTTGCGTTGCAGAGGATGGGGGACGGGGGGATTCTGGCCTGCCTAGGATGGCAGGAATTCGCATGTAGGATGGACGGTGGGGCAGAACCACATGCCAATTGCAATGCGAAAAGGGGATCCGTTCAATTCTGGGGGGGGTGGGGCGGGAAGGGGGAAGAGGAGAGGGGGGGAGGGGGGAACCTAATATTTTGTTACCGGCCACGTTGTCGCCGTTGCCATGGCACCGCGCGCCCCCCCCGAACAATCCCCCCCCTGGGGGGCGCGCGCGCTGCATGTGATTATGCTCCACCGCCCATCCTCACTCGGACATCATACCATCCCAGCCAAAAGGGCAACGCCCCCACCCACCCCCCGCCTCTGCAACACATACTTTGCGCGCGCACTCGTTTATCATTAACCATTCAGCTGTCGAAAACTCTTTTGGCCAAACATGGAGCGAATGCGCGCGCGTCGTCGCGCGCGCGAGCCCGAATCCCTGGAAACCCCGGGTGCCCTGAAGGGTTCGAAATCGAGCGCCCCGGAAACATTCAAACAAACATGGTTTCGCAATCAGGACTTTCAAACAAAACTTGCGCTCCCGAATTCTCAGGGACACAATTCGCACTCAACACTGCCATAGAATGCTACCAAACGGGCCCACCAGGCGCGCGCGCCGAAATCGTTCGAGCGCCCTTGCGCGCGTGTTGTCGCAAGAATGTTTGCAAACATGCTGCGGAACGCGCGCGCGCGGGTCGTCGCGCGCGCGCGCCGAAACCTTTCAAGAACCGTAGGTTCCGCAGAGGTTTCAAGGTCGAGGGTCCCAAAACATGCAAAAACATATGCTTCTGCAACATCAGCGTTCACAAAAAGCCTCTGCGCGCGCGTATTGCAAGTTCATGTGCGGCTTAACATTGTCACCCAATTCTGCCAGGCGTGAAACTCGCGCCGCATGTCGAACTCAGCTGGGCGCCCTTGCGCGCGTGCTGGTGCGGGGTGGGGGGGGGGCGGTCCGCGTCCATTAATGCCGCGCGGGCCACTCGTCTGTCGGCCGCGCGCGCATGTCGAAGTCCTTTAAAAAAAAACATGCATCGCCGACGCGAGGACATCGCAATAGCTATCGGCGGGCATGATCAACATCGGCACCGCTAACTAGTGGCCTTGACGTCGTCATCGACACCATCGCCACCATCGTCGCCACTCTCATCATCGCGTCCACCGTCGTCGGCGTCGCCGTGATACCGCGCCCGCCCAAGTCGCCGACTCGCACTGAAGTGCCCGCTGGGAAGTGCCGCTGTAGAAACCCATTCGGTAGCAACCAGAAAGCATGGTTCTCTTAAGAATCCGCAAGGGCGCGCGCGCAAGCCTTTGTTGGGGGATCCCTCGCTGCGAAACAATAATTGTCAAGATGTTTCGGGGCACTCGATTTTGAAATATTTGCGAAACCTGGCGTGCTTCAAGGATTCCGACATGCGCGCGCGACGACGCGCGCGCGCACTTCGACCCACCTGTTGCAAAGGAGATTTGGGAACTCATGGATTGTAATACGCGAAGAGAGCGCATCGCATTTTTTGCAAAGGATGAGGGCCGTTGCCTGCCTGCCTGGGGTCGATCCTAATACGAATTTACAAAAGAGAAGACATGCGGTGCAATCCACTGCTGCGCAGTCTTCCCACCAATCCGCCCGCAACTGGGTTTGCAGAAGCCATGCGGCGGCGATTGCGATGAGTGCTTGGCACTCGCTGGCGCATCTCTGCGGCCGCGCTTGCCCGCGCATGCTTGCGCGAGCAGCGGCGCACTAGTTTGGCGCGACCGGCGCGGCCGCGGTGGCGCTGACGGCTGGGCACTTTCCAACGGGCACCCCAGTGCGAGTCGGCGACTTGGGCGGGAATCGTGCCATGGCAAGGTCAACAACGGTAGACACAATGATGATCGTAGAGATGCTGGCGACGATGGTGATGACGGCAGGGCCAGTGACGGCGCCGATGCAAATCACGACGACGAAGATGACAGCGCCCTCGCAAAGGTAATGAAGGTTTTGGAATACGGGACGTGAAAACGACCACAGCCACTGCTTTTGTTTTGTTGCCGCCTTCCAGCCAGGAGAAACAAGGCAGTGGTTGTGGTCATTTTCGTTAAGCTTGGCACCAGGGAAATGACCACAGCCACTGCTTCTTTTTTCGGCCGGCTGGAAGGCGGCGCAAACAAGAAGCAGTGGCTGTGGTCATTTTCCCGTCCCGCATGGAAGGAGTCAGGCATGCGCGCGCAGCCGACGCGCGAGAGTAGCCCGCGCTGCGCTATGCGACTCGGGTCGCCCCCCCCCCCCCCCCGGCAGCACGCGCGCACGGGCGTTCGACTGAGTTCGACCTGCGGCGCGGGAGGCAGCTTTGACTGGCTTGTATGAGGATGTGGAACACGTGTACTCCAGATGTCGTAATAAAAGGGAGGGGGTCTGGGCCCTCCAAGACAAGCCATGTCAGACCTCCCCCGTGGGAGAACCCTCCAAAACATCGTCCCCAGACCCCCCAGGCCCTCCAAGATAGCCTGGAAGAGACCCCCCCCCGAAATGATTCCCCCTCCCTTTATTACGAAATCTGGAGTAGCTTTCTCCGGAAGTCGCAGGAGCGCGGGCGCGGGCTGTCGTTTTGAAAGTCCTCGCTGCGAAGCCATGCGTGTTGCATTTGATTTTCGAGAAGCTCGATGTTCACCCCCCCCCCCCGCGAAACCTGAGGTTCATGAAGAGTTTCGGCATGCGCGCGCGACGACGCGCGCGTGCGCACTTCGTTTCATTTGATGCAAGGGGTTCTTGCGACAGCACGCGCGCAAGGGCGCTTTTGCGATCCAGACGTGCTCGCGCGAGGGGCCCGCTTGGCAGCATGTTATGAGCATGTGAAAGCAACAATGGTTCTGCATACGAACTCGCAAGAGCGCCCGCGCAAGCTTTTGTTGGAAATCCACGTGTTTTGTTTCCCCCTTGTTTTTTCTCCAGGGCACTCGATTTTGACATCGTAACGAAACCAGAGTGTTCAAAAGGTTCTGGCATGCGCGCGACGTTGCGCGCGTGTGCACTTCGTCCCATGTGATGCAAGGGGATTTTTCGACAGCACGCGCGCAAGTACATGTGCGCGAAATGGGCTTATCTGGTTGAATGTTATGACAATGCTAAAGACCAACGGTTTTCTTTAAGAACTCCGAAGAGCGCGGGCGTAGGCTATGTTTGAAATTCTTAGTTGCGGAACCAGATGTTTGTGCATACGTGTTCGGGACACTCGATGTTCAAATCCGCGCGAAACGTCGAATGTTGAAAGAAGTTGGGCATGCGCTCGCAACGGCGCGCGCGTGTGCACTTCGCTCCATGGTTTGCAAGGGCTTCTTGAAAGCTGATGAGTTGTGATAGAGGAATGTGAGCGCATAGTGGATACGAAGTCACATTAAGGATGGACTGTGGGACTGAATCATGGGCAAATCGCAATACGAAAAGGGGGTCCCGTAATTCCGGGGGGGGTGGGGCGGGAGATCCGAATACTCTCTGATATATATATATATATATATATATATATATATATATATATATACACGGCGGCGACAGGGCGGCGACGGGGCGGCAACGGCGACCACGGAGCCGCCAGACCGCCACGCAGGCCCAGACAACGGGCGGCGACGAAGCGGCGTCGGGGCGGCGACGGGGCGGCGACGGGGCGGCGACGCCGACGACATGACCGCCAGACCGACCTTCAGGCCCAGACGGCGGGCGGCGACGAGGCGGCAGCGAGGCGGCGACGGCGAGGACATGGCCGCCAGACCAACAGCCATGCCTAGCCCTTTGGACCACACACAAGCACCCCTAAGTGCATGGACCACAGGTAAGTACCCATCAGTACAAGCTCTGTTTGTTTGGGTACAGTCGGGGCGTTGACCTAAGGAGCCCTACATAAGGAACGAGGCCCCTTTCTTCCACAAGTTAACCTTCGATTTCCTGCCGAAAACACAGGGAAAGCCTGAGGCAAGCTGTGAAACACTTAAGGAACGCGGAGCCCCTCCCCAACGAAAAGGGTTCCTTCTTCAGGGCCCCGACTGTAATTCCTCTGAGAACCCCGCGCGAACTCCTCGCATCGGCACCGGGCCCCCCTCCCCCGGCGCGCTCCGCGCGGAGCCCCCGAAGCCATCCTGCGGTGCTGGGCGCTCCTTCTGAAGAGCCGGCGCCCCGCGTGCTCGCTCTCATCCTCCTCCTCCTCCTCTTCTGTTCCCTCCCTCCCTCCTCTCGTCCCTCCCTCCCTCCCTCCCTCCCTCCTCCCTCCCTCCATCCCTCCCCTCCTCTCCCTTCCTCCTCCTCTCCTCGTCTCCTCCCTCCCTCCGCTCGTCCCGGCCTCTGCCCACCGCGCGCGCACCTTCTGCCGCGCCCCTCGCACGCCCCGTGGCCACCTGGGGAGCCCCGCCCAAGGCCCCAGGGGCGGCGCCCGCGCGGCGGCGGCCGCCCCATTCCGGCACACCCCTCGCTCGCCCCGTGGCCTCATACAGGGCAGTCTTTAATTCAATGGATTTTGTTTTTTTATTTATTTTTTTTTAAAGAGTTTGAATACATGATTAATTTTTGACTAGATCTATGCATGAACTCATCCTTGTTTTTAAATATAAATCCCTGCATTTGTAATACATGATCCGCACGCGGAGCACGTGTTAAAAACGGCACTGTAGGGTGGTCCCCTTCCTTCTTCCCACCTCCCTTGCGGCGTACATGTGGTTGGGTCCTACGCCCGGATAACTAGTTCGTGTTCGACTCTCGCACGACCACATCCCCTGCGCGCCGCGGGCCTGCTCCCGGATCTCGCTCGTGTAGGCCTCGATGACGCTCCTGGAGACGGGCCGGCCGAACGCGGCGCACTCCCAGCGCGACTTTCCCTCCGAAGGAGGCCGAGAGTAGCTCTCGAAGGCATCGTAGAACTGGAACTCGCGGATCCCGAACAGCGTCGCCATCTTGCGGACAGCCTGGCGCGCGTCGAGCTCGGTGGCCACGTCGAACTGCGTCAGGAATCCGTACTCGCCTCGTAGCGAGTCCTCTCATTCACCCTCATCTTCCTCCTCGTCCTCCTTCTCATCCTCCTACTGCTCCCGCCCGTATGCCTGCGCACGATGCGCGCAATAAGCCACACCGCGAGAGAACAGAGAGTCCAGCCAGTGCGGCTCAACCGGGTCCGCGCAGCTTCTGCACCCTGTCCTACTCCGTACTCGCATTGCCCCCTCCCTCCCCCCCCATCTCCGCCGCCGCGCTCCTCCTCCCGCTCCTCAAGTCCTCTCTCCTCCTCCCTCCCTCCCCCTCTCCCCCTCCTCCTTCCTCCTTCCCCCTCCCTCCTCTGGCTCCTCCCTCCTCCTCCTTTTCCTCCTCTCCTCTCCTCCTTCCTCCTCCTCTCCTCCGCCTCCTCCTCCTTCTCTTCTGCCCCTCCTCCTCCTCCTCCTCCTCCTCCTCCTCCTCCGCCTCCTCCTCCTCCTCCTCTTCTGCCCCCTCGCCCGCCCTCTCGCCCTTCTCCTCCTGCTCCTCGCCACCCTCCCCCCTGCGCAGCCCGTGGCGGGCCGCGCCCAGGGCGACGAGGGGCGGGCGCCCATGCCGCGCCTCGACTCCGCGCTCGCGGCCAGCCAGGAGGCCTGCTCGCGGGAGGCCGCGGCGCTCGGGTCGGGCGAAAGGGGGGGGGATAGCAAAGGGGGGTTGAGAATCAGCTCACGTGGCTGTTTTTCTCGGCGCCTCCCGGCGCCGGAGGCGGCTATGTATCGAGGAATGGGCCCCTCGGTGGGGCCGAAACCAGCTGCATGCAGCAAATTTCGTTCCCCCCCTTTCCCAATCCCCCCCTTTCGCCCGGCCCGAGGCGCGCGCCGCCCGCCTGGCCCGGTGCGGCAGGAGCTCGACCACTAGAAACCTTCCACCAGAAACCCTGGGCTGCCGATGGAGTTGTCGTGTGGGAGCGTTGCGCTGTCCACAGCAAAGCCATCGGTTGAGCAGGGACCGACCGTCCCGGCATTCCTGTAGCCCTACCACATGTTCTTAGAACCCACAGCTGTTCTAAGAACAAAAACAAAGTTCTTAGAAATTAAGCCCGATGTGTTAAATCAACACACTCCCGGCCAGAAATGTTCTAAGAACATTACGTGGAAACCACAAAAGGCTCTTAGAACATTGCTTGGTAGGGCTATAGGCGAACCAGGACGCTTCGTCACTGCTGGAATCGGAGCCCAAGAGAAAAACAGGGCACCCTGGAGGCAGGCAGGGTGTTTCGTGGCATGGGTTTCCACTGTGCTCGCGTGTGGTCGCGCCCGGTGAAGGCTCGTGACCTACGAGCTGGAGACCGTGCAGGCGGTAATGGCTCCCACGATGCAGCACGTCGCCGGCAGCGTCATGAGCGTCGTGGCCGAGCAGGCGGTGCACCCGTGGTCGAGAAGGAGGAGCGACGGAACTGTGGCGCCCAGATGCACGTCGAGGAGGTCGAACGCAACGACACCACCTCGCGCACGGCCGACGACCGTGACCTCGGGCAGCCAGGACGGCAACCCGACGAGGCGCCTGCCCCCCGCCCCCGGCGCTCAGGCGTGGAGGCGGCGGAGGGCCGCAGCTGGCCGCGCGTCCAGATTCGGCCCTGGCCCTCCTTGGGCCAAGTAGGCGAGCAGGGATTGGCCGCTCATGAAGGAGCAGGCTCCAGGGGAGAGCGGGCGGCAGCTACGTGTAGATGCGGGGCTCGGCTCGGAACGCCGAGGTGCCCTTCTGGAAGGGCGGCCTCGGTTGCTGCTTCGCTTTCGAGCCGCGGGGTCCCGGTGGGCGGCCCCTGTGACCGCGTTCGGTTGCCCGCAGGGGGTGGATGATGATGATGATGATGAGGAGGAGGAGGAGGAGGAGGAGGAGGAAGAAGAGGAGCATGATGATGATGATGATGATGATGATGATGGTGATGATGATGATGATGGTGATGATGATGATGGTGATGAAATGAAGATTTGAAGATGAAGATGAAGATGAATGATTGATGATGATGATGATGCTGATGATGATTTGATGATGATGATGTTGATGATGATGATGATGATGATGTGAGGAGGAGGAGAGGGAGGAGGAGGAGGGTGGAGGAGGTGAAGTGGAGCAGGAAGAAGGAGGAGGAGCTGAGGAGGAGGAGGAGGAGGAGGGGGAGGAGAAGGAGGAGGAGAAGGAGGACTGCCTTCCCCCTGTTGGGTGGGATAACGGTCGCCCGCGCCGCACGGTCCCCCGCGGCCCGAGCGGCTTCGCGCCCCCGCGAGGCCGCCGCAGCAGGCCCGGCGCGGGGGCGGCGCCGCCCCGCCGCTCCTGGGGTGCAACACCTGGTCGGTGGGACCTGGAGGCTCCTCGTCATCCGCTCCCGGCCCGTTCGGGTCGGCGGGTGAAGGCTTTATGAGGGTATAGTGGTTGTTGGAGTTTTTGTGTCTGACCTTCCGTGAGGTGTTAGGCGTTTGAGTGCAGCTTCTCTGGCACCGAGCACGAGCTAACGCGGAGCCAGGGCTGCGAGGGCTGGCACGCAGCTTGCCTCCGCGGCGGCGAGGCGGCACCCGTCCGCCGCAGTCTCCGCTCCCAATTCCATCGCTTCTGCTCCCCTCCTCCCCCGGTTCCTTTTCCCCTCCTTTACCCCCCTCTCGCTCCCATCCTCCTCCTTCCTCCTCCTCATCCTCTCCTCCTCCTCCCTCAGCCTCTCCTCCTCCTCGCCCTTCTCTCAGCCTCCTCCCTCTCCTCCCCTCTCCCTCATCCTCCTCCGCTCCTCCCTCTCCTGCAATCCTCCTCATCTCCTCCTCCCTCCTCCTCCTCTCCTCTCCTACTCCTCCTCCTTCCTCTCTCAGCTCCTCCTCCTCCTCCTCCTCTCCTCCTCCTCCTCCTCCTCCTCCTCCGTCCCCTTCCCCTCTTCTTCCTCCTCATGTCCCTTTTCCACCTCAAGCCGCGGCAGGAATAACAACTCGCCTCGCAGCGGGTCTGCTGCTGGCTGCGGGGGTGCCGCGCTGAGGGCTGCGGCGCAATATACTAAAGCGGCGTCCCTCAAGATGTAGACGAGCTAGGTTCGGCTCGAAAATCCCCAGGGAGGAGGAAGGTGTTGTGCAGGTGGGGGTAGCAAGGACGGCGGTGAGGGGATGGGGGAAAAAACGGTGAGGAATGGGAGGTTCACGTCAGCCGCCTGGGAAAAGTAGAACTCCGAACATCTGCAGCTTGCCCAAAAAAAACTAAAAACGGCAAGTCGAACCCCAAGCACTTTCGAGGCGAGCCTAGCGGATTAACCTCCGCGCCATGGTGCCCGGCGCATCCCGCCTTCGCCCCTCGCCTCCGGGCAGCGGCGCAGCGGCGCAGCGGCGACTGGAGCCAATACTGCTGTTGTAGTGCATTCGCTGCCACCGCCGCTGCTCCTGACCTTGCTGATGCCGCTGCCGATGCTGCCCCGACCTCTCACCACACTCTGTCCTTCCTGCGAGCGCCATGACCTGCAAACCTGCTCGCCTCCCATTGCCCCTGCCGCAGTCGAAGGAGGGGGAGCGGGAGCAGCGCTGGACTGGTGGGCGCGGTGTGGGCCCCCACCGACGGCGATGCCTGGGGGCGCACCGCAGACAGGGAGGAACGGCCGCGGGGCGACGGCCCCGGGGGAAAGCCGCGGGTCTGCGGGGCACCGCGGAGGGCCGAAGGCAACACGAGCGCACCGTGAGGACAGCCGCGCGCGGCAAGGGAAGAGCTGGAGGCCCGGAGATTGGCACCGACACCAGCACATTGGGGCTGCCTCCACAGGGGGATGACGACCCTCGATTTCGGTGTTGGTGGTGATAGTTCGGTCACCTTGGAAGCCAGAATATTACCACCACCACCACCACCAAGATCGGGAGCGTCTTCCCTCGGTGGAGGCAGACCGCCGATCTTGGTGTTGGTCTCAACCGCTAGGCCTGCGAAGAAAGGCCGGCACGAACGAGCTCTCCCGAAACGCTGCCCCGGCAGATGAGTCGTCAACGGACTGCAGAGCCTGGTGAATGGGGATGCTGAAGCGCTGCAACTCGAACTTCATCAGCACATCGACGCAATGGCGCCACGTGCTTCTGTGCGCCGTCGTGCACGGTGCCGGCCGAAACTCTGGTTGCACTGAGCCCGAGCTGTCAGTGGACAGTCCGAGAAGCGGTGAAAGCCAACTGGCCTCTGCGCGGTGCCAGGCGATTCAAGCGTGCAGCAAAGCTGGCGCATGCTACTCAAGCCGACCTTCGCGCACGCACGCTGATCTGTGACACCGCACGTTCTGAACCCGCCGCTGAATCAGCTGATGTTCGCTACGCTCCTTACCAAAACAGCTCCTCGACCACGGAACTTGGCCGAGAAGATGTGCAGTGCGCTTGCCCCAGGAATCTTCGCCAGCGAGCTGTCGTCACGACGCGGGGATCACTTCGAGATCCAGGCTGCACCCACACCCCTGACCAGAGTCGTCGTCTCATCTTCGTCGTGACCAGCAGCGCCATCACCGCCATCGTCTACCATCGCCTTCTCCACAACATCGCGCCCCTTCCCCCCACCCTCTTCCTCTCTCGTGCCCGGCCTCCTCCCGCACGACCCTCCTCCTGATCATCATCCTGGCTCTCTCGCAAGAGATCGCCGCCTTCACAACCCCGGCCCCGCAGGCCGCTCCCGGCAGACTGGGACGGCCGACGCCTCGGCGCGCAGCGCCCCCTGCTTGTGCGGCCCCCCTGCGCGCCAGCGCCGCGCCTCCTCGCCACCGCGACGGCCCTCCGGCCACCCGCGACGCCGACGACGGCGCGCGAAGCAAGCGCCGAGGGCGGAGCCCCAAGAAGGGCAAGGACAGGCACAAGGAGGAGGTCAAACAGAGCAAGGACGAGCATCAGAGGCACGACAAGACAGACAACAAGGACAAGAGCCGCGAGGACAAGAAGGGCCACGAGGGCAAGCGCCGCGGGGGCTCCCAGCAGAGCCGCCGCACCTCTCCGCGGCCCGCAGGCCGTGCCGTGTGGCGCGCGGGCGCGCGCCTTTGGCACCCGCCGCCGGCAGGCCTCCGCACGCGCTGGCGCACCGGCACTCGCCATCGCTCGGACGTCCATTCCCTGTGTTGTTGTTCGGTTTCGTGCGTGGTTGCTTCACCAAATGATGAAGGATGCTCCTCGATGGTCCCCGCCGAGGGAAAAATGCACACGTCCGAGCGATGCCAAGCAAGGCACCGGCAGGTGCGAGCCGCCGTCGGCGCGGCCCCCTGGCCGGACCGCCTGCACGCCGAGGCGGCCTGGCCGCCGGCGACGGAGAGGCGCCCCGCGCGAACGTGGCTGCGCGCTCGCGGCCCCGCGCCGCCCGGCACGTGCGGAGGGGTGTGGCCCCCGCGTCGGCGGAGGCAGGAAGGCGCCCCTCCGAGCGCGAGCGGTCCTCGCCTGCGCCGCTGCCGCCCGGCATTCCCCGCCGAGGAGGCGCGGGCCGACCTCCTCCAGGGGACCGCGGGCACCCGCCGACGGGCCCTCGCCCGCAGAGGCCTCCGGGATCAGGGAGCCCACAAAGGACGTACGCGCCCAGCTGTGTACATGAACACGGCCCCTCGATCCGCGAGACCGGCCGCGTAATACGAACATTTGCGCAATGCGTACTCTCGAAACCAGGGTGGATTCATGTACGTCCTTCTTTCGCTCCTGATGGATGGGGTCCGAATGCGAGCACACGGGGTCGGATGATCGCACCGCGTCGCCGAAACATCGGCGATGCCTCGAGGCGACGTCGGCGTGGGGGAACATCGGGCTCCACGTCGAGGCAGCAGGACTGGTGCATCGGCCATGCGGCGCGATCCTCCGACCTGCTCGGCACGCATCGGGGAGGCCTACACACAGGCCCAGAGCTGAGAGCATTCTAAGCTAAGAAAATGGACTCCACCCCAAGCGTTTTCGAAGGGGCATTGGAACACACAGATAAATACATTCAAATAAAGATATTACCCACATTTCCCATATGTTCTGGGTTTTTGTCTTCCCCCCCACTTCCCATATTTTCCCATATTTTCCGGGGGATCGACGATTAATTGTGTCTGTGTGTGTGTGTGTCGCCGAGGGACCGGCCAAGACTCTGAATTCTCTTGGGCAAAGCCTGGAGGCAATGAGCCTTGGCGCTTCTTCTCAAGATTTCGGATCGGTGTAGAACCTGGTTGCACGCAAGAGTGACCCCAGGCTTATGTTGTTCCCATCGTACTTAGGGACCAAATCTAAGGAATAATTTCGACTTATCGCCTTAACGGCGCGTCAAAACGGCCCAAGAGGCTCCCAAGATCCTCCCAACACAGCCCAAGAGGACTCCAAGAGGGCCCCGAGACGGCCCAAGAGGCGCCCAAGACGGCCCAAGACGGCACCAAGACGGCCCCAAGAGGGGCCCAAGAGGGGGACCACGAACCGAAACCTCGCGCCTTCCGCCCCAAGAGGGCCCCAGGAGGCCCCGAGAGGCCCCCAAGAGGCCCCAAGATACCGCCAAGAGGCCCCCAAGAGGCCCCAGGAGGCCCCCAGGAGCCCCCCCAGAAGGCTTCAAAAATGCCTCCCAGGCGCCTCCGAACGGCTTCCCAAAAGACCCCAAGAGGCCTCCCAAAGAATCATCTTGACGACGACCCTGTTTGGCCCCAAGAGCAACACAAGATGCCAACGGGAGGCTTCCTCCTCCGCCCCTTCCTCTTCCTCCTC